CCGCTGGGAACACAAGTGGTGTGTGATGGGATTTGTTTCCCGTGATTCTTTTGAGTCGGTATTTGGTCTTTTGACTTCCCGATGTTCTTTTGTGGAACTATTTGAGTGTCTTCTTGATGTTTCGTATGTCTAGAACTATATGGTAGGAAGCCATGTAGGACTTTGGTGTCTTGAATCGTGCTAAGTGTTCAACATTGTGTTTTGTTGAACCGTGATGTGTCTTGTGTGTTCCTCGGAACTACCTTTGGTTTATCCGTTTGATAAGCATGCTAGTTTGGTATCTAAATGCTAGCGTGTTTGTTGTTTGTACCTTCCGATTGATTGATGATAACTTGTGTTATTCATCGTTGTTGTTGTGGGCTGTGACCCATTCCTTGATTGAGTATGTTTCATACCTTCGTTGTAATCCGTTGATTGATTCCTATTGAGGTGTGATGCGTGTGTGGCTTTACCTGGATTGCACGATTAGTGGTATGGGACACTAGTCACCAAGGTATTGCAGCGGTCCTCGTGGTGGCCGTGACGTGATTATGGAGTTGTGGCCTGAGTGATGGGTCCACGTATTTCTTGGGAAGGCATGTGTTGCCGTGTGTGTGTACGGTACCTTGTGTACTATGAATTGGTGGCTTTGTTGGTGGTTTGTTGGTGGGGGACGACGGTCCCGGAGGGAAAAGGTTGGACTAAGAAGTACAAGGGTCCTGGAGGTAATGGTTGGAATGAAGATACAAGGTTGGGCGTAGCCATAAGGTTGGAACAGGGCATAAGGCAGGCATACCAACTCGTGATGGGTGATGTCACGAGGGCTATTGTAGCCGGTGTTGTGTGTTCTTCTCTTGTGACGTGTGTAGTCACAAAGGCATGTGTGGCCTTGGCATGTGTTGTCGGTTGTGTGAGTCTTATTCTTTCGCGTTGTACTTGTCGGGTTTTGATCTATTGAGTGATGTTAGGTCATGCCTTGACTCTTTTGTGAGTCGTGTTGTTCTTGTGGTCTAGGGATGTGTTCCCGTGTTGTTTGTTGAGAGTGTTGAGTCTTATGTTGGCTTTGCTCTTGGTTTTGTACTTATATATATGTATTCCATTTTGAAAATGGTTTTACAGCTTATACCTTACTTATGTACATTATTTCACATGTATTGGTGGGTTACCAGCATTATTCGCTGACCGGGCGTCGTCCCATGTTTATCTTTGTGTTCTTACAGGTGATGTCTAGTCGAGCGCGATGTCTAGTGCCCGATAGTGTAGTATCTTTCCCTTGCTTTACGGCCTGTGAGCTGATTTAGCTTTAGACTATGAGTTTTTGGATAGTTGTATACCATGCAGATTTGGCCGTAGCGTTTATCGTGTTGATAAGCGTGGCATAACACCCCTGTTTTGGATTTTATGTTATCCAGTTACCCTTTTATCTTCCGCTGTGCTAGTGTTTTGTTATGATATCTGCATGCGTTAAGGCTTTTATTATAGCTTGTTTTGAGGGGGTGTTACAAAAACGAATAGACTCCAAGGTTGAGAAGCACCAATTAGGCATGAAATCTGTTTTCTGGTGTGGTTTTGCTAGGCCTGGTGAAAGAGTTTTGTAATGGGTTGAAGAAGTTGACGGTTAGGGCTAAGGAGAAACAAAGGATTGGGAATGAGAATGTGGAGGGTGATTTTAATTTATATATTTTGATGAAGATTGGAGAATTGAATAATGCATTTTTGTTTGTTGCAGATATTGAATACGGATGGTTGTGATCTTTAGGAGTGCAGACGTGCATTGTTAATGTAAGGAATAAGGGTCAAATAGGCCACTGAACTGCACACCAAAGTGCAATTAGACCATCGAACTAAAAAACAATGCAATTGAATCCCTGAACAACCTAAAATCATGCAATTAGGTCCAAAATGACCTGTTTACCTTAAATGCCGGTTACCAATTTTAAAAAATAATTTTTAAATAAAATAATTAATTAAAAAAAAACTAGATCTGCTGGAGACTAATCGTCTTTGCCAGTCTTCGTCTCCATGGCCAGAGACGAAGAGCTTCGTCTCTAGCCAGGGAGACGAACCTTCGCCTCCATGGCCATGAAGACGAAGCCTTCGTCTCCGGCCATGGAGACGAAGACTGCCAGAGACGATTAGTCTCCGACAGTTTTTTTTTTAAATTTTAATTAACTATTTTATTTAAAATTTATTTTTAAAATTGGTAACCGCCACGTCATCACAATTTTAGGTCAACATGTCATTTTAGACCTAATTGCATGATTTTGTGTTGTTCAGGGACCAATTGCATTGTGTTTGAGTTCGATGGTCTAATTACACTTTGGTGTGCAGTTCAGTGGTCTATTTGACTCTTATTCCTTAATGTAATTAGCATTAAAATAGTACTTACAGTTTGTATGTATTAAAATAATGAGTTACGTAATTTTTTTTTAGTAAATACTTAAAATGGTCCCTCGACTATAGCTAAATTCACAAATTGGTCGTCGATTTTCAATTTCAACCAATTAAGTCCTTAACTTTGCAATTTTGACACGATTTGGTCCTCTATCTATTTGACACGAGAAGAACCTTCAGCTCTCGCCGGAGCACGTGGAGGCCTCCAGGATGACGTTGCACCGGTTCGGAAACACGTGTCTTCTTCGCTCTGGTACAAACTCAACTACATTGAATCCAAAGGGAGGATGAAGAATGACGACTGGATTTGGTAGATTGCTTTCGGCAGTGGATTCGAATGTAACAGTGCGGTCTGGAAATGCAACCGAAACCTTAAAAAACCGACGATGGACCATGAAATTACATATATATCCTCAAAAATCACAGTCAACAAACGGTCAAATAGACTGAGGACCAAATTGTGTTAAAATTACAAAGTTAAAGACTGAATTGGTTAAAATTGAAAATCGAGGATCAATTTGTGAATTTAGCTATAGTCGATGGACCATTTTGAGTATTTACTCTTTTTTTTCTCACTGTAAGTATTTAGGAATTGATTTGTTTAATATGATTAGCATTAAGTAATGGTTACTTAATTTATTCTTATTCAGCACACACATCCAAGTGTATTTAAATCCCATTTACAACAATCAACACACTATAATCACAAAGCAAGTAAAGTATAATCAAATAATTAAGGTTACGAAAACATGAATTTGTCAGTTTATAAAAAAAAAATAAAAATCCTAGGTCTATGATTAAGTTAATATTTTAGTTAGTTGGTTAAAGATAATCATAGATAATGTGTTCTTGGTCTTTAAATTCAAGAAATTCATACAAATTATGTAGAGATTTAGTGTTATATGAATTATATACACAAAATAAATCGATTAAAAATAAGAAAATTCATACCTGCTTTCTTATGAACTTGAAAATTAGCGAGAAGTCCGAGAACCAGGTTGTCACAAATCAAATTAAACGAAAATACATACTCAAATTAGTGTATTGAGTAATGGTTAGTATATTACATGTTTTTATTTTTGGTAATTAATTACCATTAATATATACATTACGTATGCATATTATCGTTGAAGGTTTATTGTCATGTGATTTTTACCGATAATAAATTATAAAATTTGTTACTTTGTGTCAACATCAACTTTACTACCAAGACTATGTGGTCTAATAGTACTTGAGTTGGACTTCTATTTGGAAGGTTGTGAGTTTGAGCCTTAGTGGAGGTGTTATTGGTTTTTTGTGTTTCCGTAGAGAAAGTATATAAACATCGGCTTTACTTTAATTAATATTTAATATTTGTAACTTTAATTTTTTTTTTTTATAGAGAATTCTATCTTTGAGCTAGATATATAATCTTTTTTTTTTCTGTTGTTTTTCTTATTATTAATATAATATTTTCCCCTTGCATTGCGCGGGACAATATTCAGTTGTAATAGAGATACTAGTATTAAAAAAAAAAAAATCATTTTTCATGATTGCAAACCGACCCTAAATTTACAAGGAATCCAACGCGCGCACGTCCAACTATCGTCCGTTATATTTGGTGCTCCGAAGCCGCCAAAAACCCTACATCATTCACAGAACTCCAAGTAATAACCGGATAAAGACCGGAAAATTATCCAGGTGATTGAGTACGTAATCGCAGGACTTCTATTTTTTTATTTTTGTTCTTTTTTTTGTTTTTTTTTTTTTTCATCTCCTCTGTCGCTGTCTGCCTCTCTCGTCCTCTCCGCGTAGCTTTCCCGTCTCTCCGCCTCTCTGGTTGGTTGTAGCTCTCTCGACTCTCCGCATCTCTGCCTCTCGCTACTGCCTCTCTCTGTCTCTCGTCTCTCGTCTCCTCTCCGTCACTGTCTGTCCTCGCATGGTCGCACCTCTCGGGCTCGCCAGTCGCCAGTCGCCAGTCGCCACCAAGTTCCGGTGACCAGTCGCTGCCTCCATACACGGAAGTCATCACCAAACGCTGAAGTCTCTTCCTCACAACAGGTTCGTAGTTCCTTAGTTCTGGCTAATTATTTTTTACCCTAATTTCCCTAATTTTGATTTAGTTATACCAGAAAACTCCGCCATCTCCGATCTATCTGCTTATCCCCTCTCTCAATTTGTTTTACTAAATTTCTAAATTACAGCTTTTATAATAATAATAATAATTATTATTATTATTATATGAATTATATGAATGTGAGCAGTGAGACAGTGAGTTACTCACGTGAGTAGGCCTAATATTGTTTTTAATGTATGTGTAATGTGCTTTTTGGAATTTTGGATGATTATTTGCTAATTAGAGTTAGTAGTCTGTGATTCTGTGAAGCTTAGTAGTCTGTTGGCATTAATTTATTGCTGATAGGACTTCAAGCTTATGGAGACTTCAAATAAAGCATCTATCCAAACTTTATTTTAATTGACTTGAAAATGTCTCCTTTTTTTGTTCAAACTACTCTTGCAGTGGAATATCACACCATATGATTTCAAGGTACAAAGTAAATTATACTAATTAATTAGTACTGTATATATTTTTAATGCACCATATCATATGGTCTCAAAACTTGCCATTGTTTATTTGTAGGTATTGTATTTATAGGTACTTCTAATTTTGCCATTCTACATGCAATTTAGTTTCTTGTTGATTATCTATAGGCTATAGCTTATGAGCTTATCTGCTAATTAGTACTAGCATAAAATTCCAGAATACATTATACACATTGAAGTACAAGTTTCACCTGTTGGCCACATTTTACCTTTGTTTTTTCGCCCCACTCAAAGAAAATCTTGGCTCCGTCCCAAATTCTCAGGATTTGATTAAGGTTGGGGTGCTTGAACCAAAGATCATGGTGTGGTGTAGCTACTGTGGGAAAAGTGTCCACGCTGACAACGTCGACGGCAGACAGTGAGCCCCTTATCTTTCAATATCTAAAAGCAATTCTTTCCCTTGTCCAACATCTGATGTTTGTTTTTGTTTAATGTTTTGACAGATGCTGTACGCTGTGTGGGAGAGTCCTTAGCGAAGATAATTTTGCAACGGAAGTTACCTTTGTTAAAAATGCAGCCGGACAGGTTTTGCTCTTCTTCCTTAATGTAGGATTACAGGGACGGTATGTGTGTGTGTGTGTGTGTGTGTGTGTGTGTGCGCGCGCGCGCGCGCGTGTGTGTGTGTGTGTGTGTGTGTGCATATATTGCCCATAGACTCCTTTCAATTTTAACATTCTCACCTGTACATGTTTAACTAGACTGGAATACATAATCATATCAAATTTATTGCAATCTGCGTGAATTTTCCCTCCTAAACTTGATGTTGTAGGCAATGTCTGTGGGCATGAGGTTTCTTCTCTGGGTTTATATGGGTTTGGACCAACTGCCAGAGGCCATGAGCCACCTTATTCATTGATTCTGGATATCTGTTGTACAAACAATTTGATTAAGAATCCACTCTGGATAAGGCCCAGTGTTATTAGGTTTTAGTTCTAGCTACCAGGTAGGAATGTGCTTGAGAGTAAAGTCCCCAACCATAAAGTTTCCCACTGTACCTATCCCTATACCTGTGCAAAAGAACTGCTAACACTTTTCCTATAGTATCCCTTGCATGCGTATAACTGGTAATTTTGTATCCCTACTATTGAGCTAGGATTGGCTAGTGACACTGATTGTCCTATAGCAATTTGCAATTTTGCAGTTTTTAGACTTGATTGTAATTTTACTGATCTCAAGTTCTTTGTATTTCATTTCATGGGTTTAATTAAAGATTTTGAAATCCTGAACTCCAGGTAAAAGTGAGAATCTAAATTTATATTCATGAATTGTTGGCAAGCATAAGTGCTTTTTTAAGGATGGTATTATGTATGTATGTATTTATACATCTAATACATAATATCCTGTCCTGCAACAAATGAAATCTGAAGTCCTTTAGTTGAAATATTTTTGTTAAGATTGAAATGGTATGAATAGACATCCCATAAAACTGATAGCAAGATTCATTAATTAATCTGGTTGTTTCAGTTAAACAAGGATTTTTTTTTTTTAAGTTGCATTTATGCATAAAATGTTAAACATGTGTGCTATTAGAACTAACTTACATTTATCTCCAGAGTCAAATGTCTGGGAATTTTGTAAGGACTGTGCAAAGTAATTTCTCAGCTTCACGTGATAGAACACTTCGGGAAGGTATCATATGTGATATTGTTTGTTTTGCATTCGATGATGAACAAATATTAGTTCACTTTGTATTGTTCAGAACAAGTATATTCTCATTATGATTTTCACAAACTAGCAGTTCGTGTCATGATGAAATGCTTTTGTATATTGTTAATGTTGGCATTATATGGCTAGAGTGTTCATCTTTGCACACCATGCTATTTCAAATGCATATATTTCTTTATAAGTTAGAGTGACCAGGTCATACTGAAATTTTCCATTTGTAGAATAGTACATAAAGAAATATCTTTGTAGGGTATGAATGTATGATATAAAGAAATTGCTTTCATTGGTCATTTGTCACATTGTGAACTGACCCATTTTATACTTTAATCCTTGAGTTTGACTTCATAGATAAATTATCTTCATTTAATGGAAACATTATTGATGCCAAAGTATTGTTACCAAGAAACATTTGGTGAAATCAAAGACAGATATTAAATAACTGATAGATAATGGCAATTCTAATGGTCAATAATTACTTTCAATGTTGCTTTCATAAGATCCTAAGCTTCAATTCTATTGGTCTTAAAGCACTTTTGAATTGCGAATCTAGTGTTTCTTCAAACTTCAGCAAATAGAGTCCTTATTTGTACTAATGCTCATTTCTAAACTGATGTCTTTTTTATCTAATCTTCTTCCCTCTGGTGACTCTTGCAGCTTTTGAAGGTATAGATAGCATGTTATATGCACTGGGGATTGATGGTGGTGATTCTATAGCTAATCCTGCTTTAAGATTTTATACGGTATGATTTGTGATGTTGTGTCATAGTAAATAATCTATATGCACCTTTGCCCTCATATTATTATCAACCATTGGGTGGTTTAATCCTTAAAATGATCTTTGATGCACAGATAGCACTTGAGCGGAATTTCACCAGGGGACGTAGGAAGGAACAAGTTCAGGCAGCTTGTCTTTACATTGCTTGTAGGTGAGGCATTCTAGTTTTTCTTCTTGTATATTTTGTTGGTAGGGTGTTAGATGTTCCATTAGAGGACAACTTTATCATGAGTAATAAAGTTATTGAATAAATGAAAGCAAACTTTTTAGAACTGAACTTGTTAATGAATTTGAGTGATGCGGAGGTTGAAGATATTATTCTTCTCTTGCTTATAGTTATGTTTTGAATCTCTGTCACATCCTTTCTTTTAAGGTTTTGCTTTAAATTATTTAATTGTATTATTTCTTCTCTTTTCTCCCTTGCTTTCAATCAAGCCTTCCAAGTATCACTGATTTAAACACCTAAAGTCTGCTCTATTATTGAAGTCTTTAGTGGTCCTTATTCATGACTACTTAATAGCAACAACATTTTACAACTGCTAAGGGTTAATACCAGATTGCTATATCATAAAGAGACAGCATTAGGAGCCCATTCCTGTTCCTTTATGCATAAACACTGGATTTGTGAGGATTTATCTTTTGATCTTTTTGTAAAGTACGTGCCAGGGTTTAGTATTTAGACACGAGAACAGTTTTGTAGAATGTCAGTCTATCAATGACTTATTCTATGAACCAAGCATGCTTCAAATGAATTCCATATAAATGCGCAAAATTATTCTTTTGGATTCAGTATAATGCCTAGTGGATGTTCATTCCAATTTCCTTCCGTTTTTGACCTGCAGATGGTCACAGATCTTTACTTGATACATTTAAAGAATCTTGTCTCTTTCATTTGTTTTCTACTTCCCCTACTTAATGAAAATGGTTTCCTTTAGATCATATTTTGGGGGAACCATTCATTCACTGTAAAGATGTAAGCCCATGAAAGAGGGATTAAGTGGATTAGAATTGATAAGGTGGTGAGTTGCAGAAGGCTTTTGCCAACGGAACAATATCATAACATAAGTTCTAAATTTAAAAAAAAATAAAAATAAAAAAAGAAAATGGTTCTTTCTTTGGTTGAGTGGAGTCAGGGAACTGTAATATCTATCGGATTTTTGTTACAGATGAAGCTTGTCTTTCCTTACTAAATCATTTTGTTTATTGTTTTTGCAGGGAAAAGAAAAAGCCATTTCTTCTCATCGATTTTTCTGAGTACTTGAGGATTAATGTGTACGTTAGCTTTCCTACAGACTTCTAATGCTTTTATCCTAGGAAAAATCAAAATAGTTCATTTTCAGCTTCTTTAGATTCTGATTGTCCTATTATGTAATCTAGTATATTTGTATAAATAAGTTTTGTTTTCACAATTCATTTGAACTACAACAATGCCAACATAGGGTTATGCAAATGGAGATCAGTACTAAGTACTGATTTATTATTTTTAAAGGATTATTGAAGTTTTTTTTACCTCATTTTGCTTTTCCTGCCCTTGAATTGCAGTTATGTATTAGGTGCTGTCTTCTTACAGCTTTGCAAACTTCTAAGCCTTGAGGAGCACCCAATTGTTCAAAAACCTGTAGATCCTAGCCTTTTCATTCATCGATTCACTGATCGTAAATAACTATCCTGACATCTTTACTATTCAAGTTTGTTATTACTCATGTGATTATTTACTTATTCCTCCTCTACTCTGTGCCTCTTGACTGAAACAATGATTATTTTGCTGCAATTTTGTTTTTTTCTGGACCTTGGATGGGGTTTGCTCTTGATCTCACAAAGTGAAAAAAGGTTTATCAGAATTTAAATGAAACATTTAAGTTAAAATCAATTGACTCGAACTAAAAGTTAATGAGTTTGTCTCTTGAATATCCAGTTTCTCAATTAATACTTTATAATATACTTATATACTTGATTTTATTTGACGACTTAGCTAGCAGACATTGCCATTTGTTTATCTGAGGTAAATAGGGAATTTTTTTGTGTGAAATTTAGTATATGAAATTCAATGGACAAGTGTTTTACCATAAAAGAATTTATCCCCCTTTCCGGATATGGATTTTATCAAATTTTATTAATCAATAAAAATAATGTAACTAATTTGAATTATATAGAATAAATTGCTTCTAAAATCCTATGTTTAATTTATCCATTCCAAAAAGTATGATAAACATAGAATGTCATCCCAATGTCAAAATTTTCCTTCTAAGAACACAGACAATACCAAAGGGCTTTGTTCAGATAAGACAAATGGGTATAATTTATTTATTTTGAGAGGTAGAAACTAGAAAATAAATTAAAAAGACTAACAAGAACCCCAAATGTTCCAATGGTGTAAGGCTTAATATCAATATGTAAAAAACGTAATATTTACTGTTAACCAAGTGAAACAGGATTACTGTTTTCACTGTTTTACCTATTAAATAAATGGTTGCACTGTTTCCTATTAATGGTATATGAATAATTGTTAAATTGAAGTATAGATCTGCTCAGCTAGATGTCACTTCACAATTCACTACAGGAGGGAAGATATTTGACAGGGAACTGTGTCCCACAAATGGTAGTAGCTTTTGAGAATTAAAAATGAAATCAAAACTTCATATGGTTTGCATCCTCAATCTTCTGTTTGTGACTTGTTTAGTCAGGTTTCCTGAATGCTTTTTAATTGAAAGTGGTGCTTTAATTTTTTTTTAAAAAATCCCCGTGTGTAGTTGAAGATTATGAAGCATGACTTAGCACTATATATTTTTAACAACATGGAGTTCCTTAGAATTGTTTGCGATATATATTGGCTGCTGTTATCAGTACTCGTTAAAAGAATTTTTTTCCTTTCTTTTAGTTGCTGGATAAACAGGAATAGCTTGTTTTATTTTGTTGTTTTCTGAACCTTGCATAAACAGGAATATACTCTTTAAAGAATATATTGGCTGCTGCCATCAGTCTTGCATAAAGTTTATAACTTGAATTTCTTTCACCACATTGTGTAGGTTTATTTGGTGAGAGGAAGCCAAATGTTTCCAGAACTGCCCTTCATATTGTTGCTAGTATGAAGCGAGATTGGATGCAGGTTAGGTATCTTTGTTGTTTAAGTTGATATCTATACTTGTATACAAGGCTACTAAATTAAATTCAACTTCTTTATGGCGCTAAAATTGTTTGTAGACAGGGAGAAAACCGAGTGGGTTATGTGGAGCTGCACTTTACATAGCTTCTCTTTCATATGGACTGAAGCGTTCCAAGTTGGAGATTGTAAGTAACAGTTAGCTAGGTCATATCCTGGTGTTTGTTAGAGCTTTGATTAGATATAGAGCTAAAGATTTTTCTCCTTTATTATGCCTTTATCTCAATGGCTGCTTGTTTTTTGATGATTTATAGCTCTCATCGTGGAACTTATAGAGTTTCTGTTCTCTCAGATTTCAAAATTGTGTACATATTTTAGAAGTTTGATGATCATGAATGTTTGTTTCTCTTGATTTCTAAGTTTTCATAGTCTGCTGAAATTTATCTTGTGGAAATATACTGTTGGAACTCTGGGTGGAATTCCTACAATACAATCACTCTTCTTTAATTGTTTTTGCTCACATTCTTTTATATTCTTCCTAAAACACTGGACACCAGTTTTTTGTGCTGTCACTTGATGTTCTGAATCCTATAGATCATTCCTGTTCTTATATCCTACACGCTACCAATTCAAATCCCTACACCAATCACACCAGAGCTAAATTATTTCCTTTGCTAAATATTCCAAAACAGTGAGTGGGGTGAGTAATAATGAGTTGGCAGTTGAATTGTAGAATTTTAAGCTATAAGCATATGGTAGTAAGAAAGCATTCAATTACATATTTTTGTGGCCATGATTTTAGTAACAAGGATTTGGATCCTACTATTGCATCTTGACTCTTAGGTGGATTCTTAACTCTTAAGATGAATCCATGAAGGCACTTATTAACTTGTTCAACTTTTATTAATTTGTTTAAATTTAAGCTATCATTATTTTGAGCAACTTTAGATCAAAATTTCAGTTGCTATTTCTATTTTATAGCTGCCTTTCGTTCTCCATGTGTTGCATAAAATTTGAGTTGGGCGCAAGTGCAATTTGTCAAGAAGAAAAATGAAACAAAAAAGTCAGGTTCATGAACCTTACCAACATTCCCATTGTTCTTCAAAATAATACTTGAGAAAGTAAAGCAACACTGCAACACAATGTATTATGTGGATTTCACTTGTGGAATGAAATTTAAGGCATACAACATTTTTTGTATATGAATTTTCTTCATTGAAAATTTCTGTTTACACTACATTTTTCTTTACTTTACAAGTAGAGTACTCTTAACTTCATTGCTTTGGTGTTTGTAGATAGATGATAACGAATAATTATGGCTTTCTAATGTTTGCTAACAGATCAAGGTTGTGCACGTTTGTGAAGCTACATTGACAAAGCGTTTAATTGAATTTGAAAATACAGATTCTGGGAGCTTAACGGTATGTTCAAAGACTAATTGGTTGGTGAAGCTGATATTTTGCAAATAACAGTTTTATCTGTACATTTGTAAATTCCCAATACTATTTACATTTGCCACTATGCTATTATTGGTGTTGCTCTTTTTTGTTTTATTTGTTTATTTTTATTTTTTGGTTGAAGAGAGCCCAGTAGTTGCATCAATAGGCTCATTGGTTAAGGAGCAAATTTGCATCACCAATTGTTGGAGGTCATCTATGTGTATGTGTATGTGTTAAAACTATAATTTTTACATTATCATTCTTAAATTTAATGTTTATTAAATGGGTATTTAACTGAAGGACCAAATTTGGAACAAAATCAATAGTCAAGGGACCATTTATGGTCATATTGAAAGTCGAGGATGAAAATTGGTAAAGATCAATAGTCAAGAGACCATTTATGGTCCAATTGAAAGTCAAAGGATAAAAATTGGTAAATGGGGTGGTCAATAGTCAAGGGACCATTCCTGGAATTAAACCTAAAATATATTACTCCATACTAACTACAAAAGTTCCCTTCAAAACAGATGCCTTTGCTACTGATTGTATTTCTAACACTTAAATTCATATCAAAACCATGAATGTAGCCAAACAGAAAATTGAATGTGGAAAACATAACTGAGAGGAGACCAATGGTTTCATGTCCTAACATAGTTATTTTCCCTTAAGCCAAGAAGTTGACTTAGCATGATACTGTCTGTCTGTCTCTCATAACAGAAGCCTCTCTTAAAATAGAAGCTCTCTCTTGTGAAATTGGCCATGGTTTTTAGAATAGAAGACCTCCCTCTTGTTAAAGTGGTCATATAATGCATACAGCTAGCCTTCAAAGTTCAGAGCCGTCTAAAAGATGATCCTTTAACTGAGAGGAGCCCAATGGTTTCATGTCCTAACAGAGTTATTTTCCCTTAAGCCAAGAAGTTGACTTAGCATGATGCTCGCTCTTATAAAAGAAGCCTCTCTTAGAAATTAGAATAGAAGCTCTCTCTTGTGAAACTGGCCATGGTTTTAAGAATAGAAGACCTCCCTCTTGTTAAAGTGGCCAGATAATGCATACAGTGTCCTTGCCAAATGGCTGGCAGATTTCTGAACCTTTTTGAGTTCTGCAACTGGTAAAGTTGTGAAGTTTCCAGCCATCATGTTTTTGATTTTGTTCAGTGGTTCTGGTTCACTTTTTATGAATCAGCATATTAAAAAAAGGTAAAAAAGTATGTGCACAAGTTCTAGGGAGTTTCAAGATTTATATCTGAGAGATTCTTAATAATAATTTAACTAAATTTACTTCAACCCTGAACTTGTTTCTTTCTATTTTTTGAAACTTATAGGTGAACCTCTGCTTTAGGAAACTTATAGGGGCTGCATCTTATTTGAGTCTTCTTATATGTGAAGTTTACTCATCATTGTTACTGATAGAGGTGTCAAATTGGAGTGTTAGGGTGGATTATGGTGACATCCTTTCTCCTTGCACCATTTATCCTTAGTTTTTGTCCTTATTCTTTTCATGCCTTTGCTGCATTACATATATATATATATTAACAAGACAACAAGAGTAAAAAAGGAAAAGATTTGACTAACAAAAAGTAGAAGAGAAAATGTTGCTTTAAATTCTGCATGCTCTCGTGCAGTTGCCAAAAAGTAGCAGTAGAGCTGCTGCAGTTGGGAGGGTGTGGTGAAAGAGGATCTAAAGTTGAAATGGGATTTTGTCTTTTTAAAATTGGTTAGTTGTTTAGTGGGTGATTGATTTAACTCACTAGACTAGATAAAATGCCTTTTAAACGAGTTATCTATTAATGCCCCATTTCTTTATAGGGGTGCGCACCCAAATGCATCTACAGTGGTAAGATTGAGTTAAGAATTGGGTTTGGCCTGAAATTGGCACCTCTACATGTAGGTTGTCAAATTAATGCCCCTAAAAGTACCGAACTTTTTTATTTTTATTTTTTCATACTATCAATCCCTTTGATTTGTCATAAGATTGAGATTGGCAAGTGGATCTTACCTTCTTGACCTTTGCAACTGCATGATGCATATACTTGTTTTTGAAGTGGATTTATTGATTAGTTTATTCTTATATATTTCCTTTAACTAGATTGAGGAGTTCAATACAAGAGCTGTGGAGCTTGAGAAAGAGCAGAGGCTGATGACAGTTCAATTCCCAGTGTCAAAAGAATCTGGAATAAGTGAATTACTTTGTGAACACAAAGGGAGTGGGATACCTCCCTTTGCCCATGGCCTTTGTGAAAGCTGTTATACTGATGTAACACCTTGTTTCCTTGGCTTCAAACTTTGTAGCATGACAGCCCTTTGAATTACTTACAATTGTTTTTGCAGTTTATAACAATTTCTGGTGGGCTTGATGGGGGATCAGAACCTCCAGCTTTCCAACGGGCTGAGAAAGAAAGGCTGATGGCAAAGGAAGCTGATGATGATGATCGTGACCTTTTAGATTATGTCACATCTACTGAAGCAGAGAACAACTACAAAAATGTGACGGTACTTGGTGTTGCTATTTGTTTACTGTTTGTCTATTCTTGTTCTGGATCTAGTAAAACATGCATGCAATTCTGTTTTATTTCTGTTTTAATAGGGTGATTGTGGGACACTATATTTCATCTGTTTCTACTTTATGGATTCTACATTCAATATTTTGCATTACTTTCTAGTAAAGATGTAAGTCTATTTAGTGCAAACACTCATTTGAAGCAATATTATTTGGATGCATTGTTCATTATCTTCATTTTTAAATGTGAAGCAACATTATTTGTATGCATTGTTCATTATCTTCATTTTTAATGGTGGATAATAAACGTAAATTTATGAACATCAAAACTATGAATGTATGGATATCAGAGATAATTGATGTACAAAATTTTGGAATTTTTGTTAGGAGCGCATTATTTGATTTCATTTTCCTTTCCCATATCATGCACTGTGCAGGAGAATTGCACACAGGGCCCAATCCTTTTTAACTTTAGATAGTAACCCTTGGTGAACTTAATATTATGCTATAAAAAAAGACCCTAAACTTTTATTCACAATGTTATTCCTAGTACTAGCTTTGTTGCTTTCATTAATTTTCATGATTGTTCATGGAAGACTTCTCTAGTCATTCTCATAGAATGCCAAATCAGTTCATTCAGATGTTGTGTGCTAGAGGATCTTTCTTGAAGAGTAGTTATTAAGAAAGATAGGTAGCTCAAAGGCTCGTGTTGGGTTGGGTGTATCTGACTTAGCCTTAGTTGTGTTGAGATGATTTGAAAAATATGTACTTGTTTTTAAGTTTTTGGCTTGCTGCACTTCTTCTCATTTCATTTCTTTTTTCATTCTCTTCACAATATTCTGCAAATGGAAATGTTCAGAATGCGAATGCAAATGAAACCTTGCAGGGAAAGGAGCATGAATTGATGGGTAGGCCATAATCAAATTCTTTAGATTATTAATAAAACCAAAATTTGTTATGAATGCTTGATCCACATATAAGTGTGAAAACCTATACACTTGTCTATAGCAGGTGTTGCTTCCACATCTGGAGCTATGCAGGATGACACTGTTGATAAGTCACATGGAATTGATGATATTAATTCAAAAGGTTCTGATGAGTCGGAAAACTTGTCTGATATCGATGATAGAGAGGTATAGAGTGTCTCTTTTGCATTTATTTTTTTGGTATTGTATGAAAGGCTTGTTTATGTGGTTTCATCTTAATTTCATATAAGGATCACTATAACAGTGCAATGAAATTGACATTGCAGTTTAATTGTTTTGTGGTGTACTCTCCTCTAGTCTGTAGTTGATTTTTGGGGCATAAGAAATAGAATGAATCAATTTTTTGTGCTTTCATGGTTAACATGTATTGCAAGCAAGTTTCTTGATCAGCATAATGGTTTTTTCCTAATTTTAACTGTGTTTCAATGGTAGAATAGTATTTTGTTTTTGTGTTTTAATAAATTGCCACTAGAATCTAGCATACATCTGTTATTATGTCATGCCCTGTCTTTTTCTTATATATTTATTTGCTATAGGATGTTCTCTATTTAATCTTCCTATTGTGCTATGTTTGAGTTTTCAATGAACTATGTTTGAAAGAAACCTTTGAACTGCATAAAAAGTATCTGTTGGAGTGTGATCATATGAAATTCCCGTTAGAGCACCTGAAGTGAACCATTTTAATACTGCCAACCATTAAATTTAATTTCGGTTCTACCTTTTGAAGCCTCATCTGCGCCACTCAGATTATTTTATTGCAAGGAATTAGTGTGCCATAAATTTTGACATTTTGTCCTGTCATTTTCTACTCGCCACTTTGTTACTTATTCAATTGTTAATCAATTTCTTTTATAACTTTGATAAATAAAGATGTCCTCTTAAATTTGATTGACAGTTTTATAGCTTTTCTCTCAGTATTAAACTCTGCTCATATTTCTGGGCATGTGTTAATAATTTTCTGCGGTTTGGTTTGATAAATTTGTCACAACCATCATGCACAACATGCAATGCTGGACAGGTTGACACATATCTATTTCAAAATGATGAGGAGGCAAAGCACCTCAAGAAGATTATTTGGGAGAAAAATAATAGAGAGTATATTGAGGTGATTTTACATATCTTGTTTCTTTTTCCATTTATACACGCCCGTGAAGAGTATTTCTTGCTTTTTATAAAGATTATTTTTGGTTAGGAATTGAAAATCTCTATGATCACAGCAGTTTCATTTAATTTGGGTTATTTGGCTCAAGGCCTGGAATGCAATTTTAATGATGGTCTCGTCTCCCAACTAAGCTGTTTCTCTGTTCTAGTAGAGACATGCCTGCATAATGATGCATAGCATGCTATACCAAGTAAATAACAAAAGAAAACATATTAAAGATATATTTTGATTAGTTATATAGGGGATGTTGCAATTATTTTTTGTTCATGTAATTGGATGTATTCATTCATTTCATTGGTCTCAGGTAGTACTATTTACTCACAGTATTGATCAAAAAGAAAATTTTAAAAATTATAGGAATAAGGGTCAAATAGGCCATCCAACTGCACAAGATAATGCAATTAGGCCACTGAACCTAAAAAATCAACAATCAGGTCCCTAAACTAACCAATTTCAAACAAATCTTCCAATTTGTAGGTTTCCAACAGGTTAACAGGTCATCCTCCCAAATTAATTATTTTTTTAAAAATAAAATTTAAAAATTAATTATTTAAGTAATTAAAAAAAAAAAAGAAATAGAAACGGCCGGAGACGAAGAAACTTCTTCGTCTCCGGCCAGTTTCTTCGTCTCCACGGCCGGAGACGACGATTTCTTCGTCTCCGGCCATGGAGACGAAGAGTTTCTTCGTCTCCATTGCCGGAGACGAAGAGAACTCTTCGTCTCCGGCCGTGGAGACGAAGAAACCTTCTTCGTCCCCATGGCCGGAGACGAAGAAACTCTTCGTCTCCGGCCGTGGAGACGAAGAAACCTTCAAATTGGATGAATTGTTAGAAATTGGTTAGTTTAGGGACTCGATTGTTGGTTTTTTGGGTTCAGTGGCTTAATTGTATTATTAGGTGCAGTTCGATGGCCTATTTGACCCTTATTCCAAAATTATATTAATGGTCAAATTTACTTTTATTCCAGCACCTTTAAGATTGCAAGTGTTGCTTCCTTTACTATTTATGCCTTTATGGACATGTACATTTGTACAAAAGATCCAAGTTGCCAATTTGTATAATAAACAGGTGTTTGAGTAGGGAGATGAAGCGGGGTATTCAAAAAATTGAATTCACTACAAAACTTTTTGAGACTTCAGCTTGCTAGCCTTTCTTATCTGCAAACTAACAATTTTGTGGGGAAGCAGAATAGGCCTCTTTGAGATCTGTACTACCATTGAGAGAGACTTGAGAGGAAGACCATACATTTTGCCTTGCTAGCAAAGAGGGCAGCTTGAAATGAAACTCATTCATTTTTATCTGCTTATGGTTTAAACGAGTAATAAGATTTGTTAAGTTATTTTATTCACTTTTATTTTGGATATAAATATAAATATATAAAATTGCTTATAGGATGTTGAATATTTGTGGGAGCTTTTTATTTATTTATTTATTATTATTGTTATTATTATTATTATTATTATTATTATTATTATTTTTTATGTGGAAGACTGGAAAGAGAACATAAAAAAAACTATTATTATCATTTTGTTTTATGGCACTTTCCAATAAGGTAATAATATCTTTTGAAGAATCCATGAGACAAGCACTCATAGGATTTTGGTTGTTAAAGTTGTTTCCAATTAGTTTACTGTTCAATTTGAGTAATGTTATGTATGAGTAGTATTATACTTCCTCTTTTTACTCCCAACATGGCATGCTGGTCGACTCAAGAAAAAGGGGAGCCGTTAGTTTTTTTTCTTTTTCATTTCTTGTCCCAATGAAATCAGGATATGGCAGGAGTATACTTAACATTTTCTGTTATGAGTTCAATAAATTCTTTTTGGAATATAAATTTCAGAAAATAAATGAATAAAATCATTTGTAGCTTTCATATATTGAATTGGTCCTATAAGGCTATATTCACTGTCCTTGAGTTGAGCAGAAAATTCGTACATCCTTTTTATAATATTGTTCTTTTTGTGAAAGTGTGGAACCTTTTTTGTGTATTGTTCTTTTTTTTTTTTTGGGTGTAAATAACGAGGTGGTCCGGGTTTTTCTCTGTCTGTTTAACGGTCTAGGTCCACCCGACTAATCCCCGTTCACGGGAGCTGGCCCAAGGGGAATCGTCACTTGTGGGAATTGAACCCGGGTTATCCCAGAATTCTTCCCCACAAAGAGAGCTCATTTTCCACTTGAGCTACTCCGTTGGGTATTTTTTTGTATTGTTCTCATTAAGCAATAGATACCTCCATATGAAATTGATATTTTTTTCTCTTATAATTATAGGAACAAGCAGCCAAAGAAGCAGCTGCATTAGCTTCCAAAAAGTTTTTCGAATCCAGTTACACCTGCCCTGAGGAAATGGAAGCTGCACAGAAGCTTGCTGCTGCAGCTGCAGCTGCTGTGGCAAAGTCAAAAAAGGTTCTACTTTCGTAGCATGTTGCTGTGATTATTATTAAGGGCTTGTTGGTAAAATATAAAATGCTTAAAATCTAAAAAATTAAACACTATAACTAAGATATTTTACAACAAATAGTCAAACCTTGATTAGCTATAGCACTGAGAAATGAATCTCATTAATTCAAAATGCACTTATTTGGTGTGCATACAATTGTTAGTGAATATTTTTCTAAACTTTTTTTAGCAACCAAAATGCTTGATTATCCACTCTTGATGCAACCAGGTTCCTGTTTTTAATTTTCTCAAAGAGTTCCTTGAGTTTCAGCGTCTTCTCTGTAATTCCAATCTGTGGCCACACTGTTGTTTCTTGATCACACTTCTCAGCATTATACATTCCACAATTGACTTCTTCTAGAACTTCCTTTCCAAGATAGTTAATTATTCACAGTTCAAACTGCTTGTGTTGACCATGATGCACCTTTCATTGTTATTATTCATTTCTGCCATGGTATGGAAAAAAAAAAAAAACAAATAATAACTTCAGGTTTCTTCAAAGTGGATTCAAGTTGTAGACTAATAGACAACTCCGAACTTTTTGCAGGAGAAGCAACAGCGAAGAGCTGCAGAATTGAGGAACTCTGGTCCTGCCAAAACTGCAGCAGAAGCTACTCAACAAATGTTGAGTAGAAAGGTACTATATAGATATCAGAGAAATAGAATTTTATGAATAAAAAAAGGTGTTAGCATTAATTTCATTGCCTGATATGGTTTAACAATTTTGAAAAGGAAGCTTTTATTACTTTACCTGACGAGTAACAGTCTTGAATTCGCGGATGTTTTGTTCATTTTACATTTCATGTCTGTTTCTGAGAATATTCTTTTTGGGCGTGAATATAAAAATAATTATATTGGCATATGTAATGCCATCCTTGTGCCACATAATGGAGAATGCGTGAAATATGGTAAAAGCTAACCATGATTCTCATTCATTTTTATCCAATTGCTTTCTCTTTTATATAGCACTCCTGCTAAGATCCTTTCATCAATGTATCGCATACTGCTCAGCCCATGTGTATTTGTCATTGTTTTCTGTCATTCACATGTGTATGTCTAATATATATATATATACTCTTATTCTATTATTTAATGTTCATTAATGCAGAGGAACTCTATAGTCAACCACGATGTATTGGACACACTTTTTGATGAATCTGTACGTATTCCTGCCAACTACAAGTTTTATTTGCTGCTGCATGAAGTTCCCTCCTTCCTGCTCCACCCAACTTATTTTGCTTACATTTCTCATCTTTCATTGGCATCCATTCTATGGGTTGTGACTTGTGTGATGTTCACAATATTTTAGACGTCTGCTTGATGCAATGCTATATCGAATTTCTAAGGGCTGTAAACAAGAAAATATTAAAATTTTAAAACCAGGAAATTGATGCATCACTATGATGTTGTCCGTTGTTTTAGTCAGAAGTATGAAGTATTTCTTATATTGCGTGAAATATGAAGTGATATGAGCCTATGAGGTTGATCAAAGGGTAAACCATATTTATGTGGAGACTAATGGGAAAAGAAAAGTGATTGAATTTTGCTGCACATTTACATTTATGTTGAATGCCCTTGAGAAAAAAAGCAATTCTAACAGTGGTACTTTTATGTTTAATGTTTAATGTTTTTTTTTTTTTTTTTTTTTTTTTTTTTTTGGGGCTTATTTTCCATGACAGCCACTTCCTGCCAATCCCAAGAAAAGTCGAAATGACTCAGACGCCAATGAAGGTAGAAACCTGAAAGATAACAAACTTGATCCTGTTACAGAGGATGGCGGAGAAGAATGGATGGGTGGAGAATATGACAACGATGTAAATTATACAGAACAGGAAGCCTATGATTATGATGAACAATATGGTTTTGAAGAGTACTAAATAATGTACAGGTATTCACTTATACTCATTTTTTCCTTCCAAATTGAGGTTGCAAGGTCGGGAGGCTCTAACAAATAGGATACTGGAGCATAGGTGTTACTACTCATGATAGCGCTTAGTAATCTGTCAATAACCTCATTTGTTTTATTAGAGACACAATAATTTAATTAGAATTTTGTAATTTTAAATATTTTTTTTTCCCCTTTCATTGTTTGGTAGGGGAAAGAAGTTGATTGTTTAGAGAATATGAATATTTACGCCTGTTATACTCACTTTATAGTTTATGAATATAACATTAAAATGTTGTTTTCAGGTGATTTTCGTATACTTATTCAATTAGTTCAATAAAATATATTTAATAATTTTAAATCCACAGTTCTTGTACAGTTTTGTGTCAGAGTTATATACGAGCATACATAAGTGAAGTTTTTTTTTTTTTTTTTTGGTTAAGGGGTTTTGTAAATGTGATTAGGAAAGAGAAAAGAAAAGGAGAAAAAAAAAATTGATCTGACACTTAAAAAAAGGTTTTTAACGCGCTAGTCGGCGTGTGCATTGTACGTGCCCCGCTTGGCTTTGCTATGTGCGAAATGTGTACAATTTCTCTTGTTTCTTTGATCAAAACACTGTTTCAAAAATTTGTTTTTGCAGAAGGAATTATTTTTTCTTTCTTACTCTCTCTTCACCATGTCATCACTCACAGTTCCAAAAATCACTAAATATGCACTGATTCTGGTGCTTTATGTTTGTTTTAAAGAAACATTAAAGGTGAAAGTACCGCCATTGCATTGGTTACCTTGAGTTATTTGTGTTATGGCTGTAAGTATGTTTTGGTGAGTTCGTGGTAGTAGATAGAGATGGAGAAGAGAGAATAACAAAAGGGAATTCATTCAAATACAACAACCCAAACCCAAAAACTGTAGCAACACAGTATTTAAGAAAGAATTAAAACTGAATTTAACAATTAGGGGTAATTTTGACATTTTTTAGTTTATAGAACTCTATAATTATAAAACTCTATGTTCATAATTTTTGAACTCTATATTTATAATTATGAACAGTTTTGGAACGGTGTCCACCTAAAAGGTGGACACAATTCCACAGCATAATTTGTCTTACATGTAAGAGGGTTAATAGCACTATTAAAAAAAAAAAAAAAAAAAAAAAAAAAAAAAACATATCCTTGGCTGATTTTTATCAATCCATACGTAACTCTCCTTCATCTTCTTCCTTGGTTTCTTCTTCATGAATTTCCTGGACTTATTATCTCTGGTTCTTCATCAGAATAAAATTACAAAAATTCACTCAAAAATGGGCGGTAGTCTAAAAATTTTTATTCTAAAATTATATTTTGGCTCATCAAAATCTAATTACAATATATTCCTAACATATTTGGACAATTTTTTTTTTAAATTACATTTAAATTTTTGTTATAGAATACAATAACTTGGTCAAAATGAATTTGAACTCAATTACCTCAGTTATATAGATTTTTCTAGATCTTCTAGACTTCAATCTTCATCTTTCCGAGATCTTTTGAGATTATGTTTCCTACTTTTATAAATAGAAATCCATATCATTATAGTGGCATGGAGTGGCTCTCCCAAATGAGAGGTCATGGGTTTGAAGCCTAATGGGGGCGATATTGACTCTTTGTGCTTGGTTGAGAAAGTAGCTATGAACACATACTACATTATAACAGAGTCAGTAGTACTAAAAACGAAATTCCTATCATTATAGCAAAATTTAAATATTAAAAAATCCGCTCTCTCCCTATGTTCTTGTCTCTCTATTGTTGTCTTTGTCTCAGTTTACTATGTTCTTGTCTCTCTATTGTTGTCTTTGTCTTTGCAGTTTACTCTATTGTATTTAGATTGCATCTCGGAACACTATGTTCTTGTCTCTCTATTATTGTATTTGTCTTTGCAGTTTACTTTATTATATTTAGATTGCATCTCAGAACACAACACCCCTCTAAAATGTTTGGAAGTTGTCTTGAAAAGCTCCCAATGCCTCTTCATTAGATCGTCATTGCGATTGGTTACCTTGAGTGATTTGTGTGATAGTTGTGTTTGGTGAATTCGTGGTAGTGAAGAGAGAGATGGAGAAAAGAGAATAACAAAAGGAAATTCATTCAAATTCAACAACCCAAATGAATAGCAATACAACATTTAAGTAAGAATGAAAACTAAAGGCTCAAGTGTCAAATCGCACCATGAACCAATTGCGATATGTCATGTCGCACCATGAACCAATTGTGATATGTCATGTCGCACCCTGATCTTGCATAAGTGACTATTCAATTCACAAACCAAAAAATTTTGTCCGCCTAACCTTTTTTACAGGTTTCCCTGTTACTTTGATGACATGGCGCCGGTGAACTTATTTTATTTGCTTGGTAAAATAAACTGATGAGCTGTCTTCTTTCCCTCCTTATCTTCTTTCAATCCTTATCGTCGACTTACCAGAGCTTCAGCTTCAACATCATGACTCCCTGATTTGCGAATGATTTCTCAATTTTCGCCAAAAAGAAATCAACAGCCATTTCATTCTTCTCCCAAATTTGGTTCTGAATTCTTTGTATTTTTCTTGGATATTATGCTTTAATTTCTGTGATTAATGGGAAATTATTCTGCTTTCTTCTCCCAAATTCTACTGCTTTCTTGTAGCGATTACATAGAGGGCGTTTGGTTGAAACATGGGAATCTGAATCGGGATGGGGTTTTAGCGAAGTAGCTTGTTTGTATGCGATTGAGATGGACCGAGCCCGTATCTTGGCGAGGCGACCCGGTTGTTCGCAGCAGGTCGGCAGTCCGGGTGGAAGGCAGCAGCGGCGACCGGTTGCGGTGGCGGGGCGACCCGGTTGTTCGCAGTAGGTCGGCAACTTTGGCTGATTTCTTTCATAATCTTCACAAAACAATAATCCTAAAATTAATTAAGGCTCATAACTAGCAATGCTGATTTCTTTCATAAATGTTGTTCCAATTTGTTGCTGCAGCTTCAAAAATCAGAATGTGAGATGCTCCAATTCGTTGCTGTTGTTGTTGCGTTGAATTTTTGTCTGGGAACAATTTTCGCATTTTCTATGATATTTCCAGATTCCGTCTCAGCAATCACTGATTTCTCTACAATATTTTGTGTATTCCTCGCCTATTTTGTGTATTCCTCTCCTATATTTTGCTAATGGCTCTGGAGATACAATCGTTGTGGCTGATTGCATATGATTTTGAACCTTCAGATTGATTTCTGAAGTTTTTCTGGAATTTCCAGAATCTGGCGACACTCCGGTCGCCAGAACGCCGCCTGTCGCCGGCCACAACGCGGATGACTGGAAAGTCAAATTTTGGGTTATTCAATTAAATTGATGAAATGGCTGCCACATCTATTGAAATGGCTGACACAGATACAATCGTTGTGGCTGATTGCATATGATTTTGAACCTTCAGATTGATTTGTGAAGTTTTTCTGGAATTTCCAGAATCTGGCGACACTCCGGTCGCCGGAACGCCGCCTGTCGCCGGCCACAACGCGGATGACTGGAAAGTCAAATTTTGGGTTATTCAATTAAATTGATGAAATGGCCGCCACATCTATTGAAATGGCTGACACATCTACAAAACAAAACACATGTCTGCCAAATCACCTCCACATTACCAACTTATTACCTTTAACCTGAAGGTTACCTGTAAAAAATACTAGGTGGACAAAATTTTTTGGTTTGTGAATCGAATAATCAGTTATGTAAGATCAGGGTGCTACATGACATATCGCAATTGGTTCATGGTGCGATTTGACACTTGAGCCAAAACTAAATCGTAACAACCAAGGGCAATTTGACATTTCTCAGCTTCCTTATAACTAATTTCAATGGTTTAACATCCTTCTAACGTTGTGTTTTGCTAACTTTACCCAACTGCCACGAACCATCTTCACAACCACAGCTACAAGCATCAATAGACAAGGGCTGTTAAAAGTACGAATTCATTTAGTAAAATATATGAAATGTAATTACATTATAGTGGCATTAGAATTATTCGACCAAACATCTTGGAAGAGACCATATAAAATGCGTGGTATGTATTACTGGTTTTCTTGTGTTCAACAACAATTATGTGCATACTAAGAAAGCACAAGTATTGCTGGGCTTAACTATACTGCATAATTACTTGCTATGTACTCACAACATTCCTTAGATCCTATTAAAAACCGAAGTGGCCGGGTTTGAGAGATGTACGCCTTCATGTATAAGGCAATGCAATTGAGTCATATGCACTCCAACTCCATTAGATGCTCCTCAGAAGCCATTAAGATTGGGACTTTTATCCTTGGATTTTGACCAGCAGTGATGTATCTGTCATGACAGAATACAAGGTAGTTTCCATCATCGTCTCTAACCAGGATATAAAGTTGTTGCCCGGCAGCATATCCACCAAGAAGCTGGTAGGATATCTCAGATTGATCCATTGCAAGACACAGGTCTTCAGAACCTACATAAGTTTTGGAGAAACTGGCCAGAATTAATCAACATTTACTACTTACAAGATAAAAATAGCAGAGCAGAAAACGTTGAGATAGAGTGAAAAACTTTGGATTTGTCTCAAAAAATGCTTTTATGTTTTTTAACTTGTTTCCCATGGCAGGTAAACTTCTGCCAGGCAGGCACCCAATAGAAATCCAGACAGAACCATATGAACAAGAAAATTAAAGCGTATTCTATACACAAGAATTGAACTGTGAAATCCACAGAGGCAATACATTTGGGTTATTCCTTACAATTGCTTGGCAAGACACATAGATAGATAGATATATAGAAGATAGGTAAAGGTTTCTATGATCAAAAGGAGCAATTAACTCTCACTATAAAGTACTTACAGGCAGCAAGTTCTAATTGAGTTTGGTATATGAAATCCAAAGCGGCAGAGATTTCCTTCTCGAACTGGTGAAATGGTCCGCTCTCAAATCTCATTTTTCGAAGTTTACACAGCCCCTCTCCCAACTCCATCATCGCACCTTTGTGATTCTGCAACAAATAAAAAACGAAACAAAAATTTTGCTATCACACATGAAGCCATATCTTAGCAATTTCCTAATTTCATCCTTCAGCAAAGGGAAAGTGACAACTTTCAATTCGAAAGCCAGTCATCAATGATTCGATTCAAATAATATTGAAGAATTTAGAGGAAAATAAACCTGATTGAAGAGGTGATGGAAGCCGACAGCGCATTGCAGAATGGCGTGAAAAAGGGTTCGAGAAGGGTCATCCGAGGAGTGCCATAGAGCTTCCAGAACGTCATGGCATTTGTAGTATTCCATCCTATTGAAAAGCGCCACCGCATATTCGAACCGGGCTTCGTCGTCGTCCTCCTCCGCTTCTATGAATCTGCCGCCGCCGCCTCCTCGCCATGAAGAAAACCTGTGGCGTGCCACCATCGCGGTTCTCTTCTTCTTCCTCCTCCATTGAGGCTTGGGGTAACCAATAGGAGATGTCGATAGACGACAAGTGTGTTGAAGCTTAGAGATTAGATTGAATTGTGAGAAGGAAGTAGAAGTAGCCATTGCCATAGAATTGAAGAAGTAGTGACTTCTACTGTTCGCAACTACAAATAAAAATCTCACCAATGTTTCATAATTGTGTCTTCAAATAAAACTCCCCATTAAAAAGAAAAAAAAAAAAAAAAAAAAAAAAAAAAAAAAACAAACAAACAAACAAAAATATGACACCATCAATACTTCTAATAAAAACAAAGATCCAATTAATGTCAAATGGGGTCCTTCGAATATAAAGATTTTGTCACGTTTAGTCTTAAACTTTCAAATTGATCATTTGTGGTCATTAAACTTTCAAATTTAACCATTTGTGGTCCAAGTTAACCACTTATGGTCCTTCAACTTTAGAAATTTAACCAGTCATGGTCTTTTTGAAAGGATCATGATTGGTTAAAATTTAATTATTGAAGGACCATAAGTGGTTAACTTGGACCACGAATGGTTAAATTTGAAAGTTTAGGACTAAACGTGGCAAAATTCTTATACTCAGGGAACGTTAGATGGTATTAACTCAAACAAAATCTTGCAACTTTGGTAAATAATAACTTAATTATTATGATAAATTAGTATTTTCACCTGTGCGATGCACGAAATTGATTTGTTATAATATATTATGAATATTTGTATCGATATACAATTATTTAAATTATAACATCAATTATTATACAGTGCAATTGAAGATATGGTTTGGATCGTTTATGTTTGTTGATGTTATCATTACTTGAATTCGAGCAAATAATTGCTCAAATTAATAGCTAATGTGTATATGTACGCATGCGGTGCTATAACTTTAGAGATTTTATATATCATTGTTTACGATTTTTATAAATTGGCCAAATGTGCTCGTTCTCTAGCAACTTAGTTATAGTAATCAATTGTTGTCCTAATTCATTTGTATAGAAGATATATTTTGTCTAGATATATATCAATTTTTTCATTTTGAAAGAAAAAAAAAAACATAATATCATCGATTGTATTTACACATTATTGAAAACCTCTTTATAGACGACATTGATAGCCACAACACAATCTTGTCCATCATCGTCTAGAGCTAATACCTTCAGGCCATCAGGATAGGTGACTCAAGAGAAAGCCATGTACAATTGTTTGTGATTAAAGACCGGTTTTTTTTTAGCAATAACCTAACGGGAGCTAGTGTTTGGCCTTGGCTTTTATTGAGAGTCATGGCATATGCAAGCATCAACGGGAATTGTTTACGATGGAACTTGAAAGAAAATCTCATATCAGAAGAAGTGAGAGACATTCGGAGGATAAGAACTTTGGTTCCTTCATGTGTCCCATTAACTATTCTTGCTTCGACAATGTGATCTGCCAATATTGTGATGATGAGACGCGTCCCGTTACAAAGACTAAGAGAGTGGCCTACGTTTCGCAATAACATAACAGGTGCACCAACCTTTAATGTCAATGAATGATTAGGAAGACCTGACAATCTCAAACTATTTAAGAATTCATGAGTGTCTTATTCTGCCATACACAAAGAGTCACAACTTAAATATGTTCGTCCTTCTGCGGTATTCATGTCGCACATGTACTAATTAATTTGATAAAGGACATCTAAAGTCGGTGAGAGGATCGCTCGGAATTCTAGCTGCGCATGCCATATCTCGAGCTTGGGAAGGTGCTTTCCACTATAGTTGTTATGGGATCGTGTCCACACTTCAACAAAAACCATGCCGGAATATCGATATCAAATGAACCGCCGTTTACAACCCCTGCAATCCCATCTCCGATGTTTACAATCCATTTTGAAAATCAATCAACCGTCTGTCTATCTTCATCTGAAGCTAAGGTCTGTAGTCTCAAGTTCTTGGTGAGCCTTAATACCTTGCAATTTGTACACAGGTATGAAGAATTAATAGTTTCTCTAACAACTACTGCTCTTGTCGCTTTCGGAATAACAGGTATGATCTGTCTAAAATCGCCGCCCAAAACTACTGTCTTTCCAGTAAAAGTCTTTTCAGCAGTACCCGTATGGCGAACCTCAATAGATCCATCATAGTTTTGTCCAAAGCCTTAAAAAATGTTTTTGTGCGTCATCAATGCTTCATCCCATATTATCAATTTGCTCCTTATTATAAGCTCAGCAAGGTCACTGCCTTGCGATATATTGCACGTGGAATCTTCGTTCAAAGAGAGTGGTATAGCAAATCTGGAATGCGTCGTCCTGCCTCCAAGCAAGAACAAAGATGCTATTCCACTGGAAGCAACATTCAGAACAATATCATCACGGCTCCTTATCTTTGATGATACGTTCTCCACACGAACGTCTTTCATGTTCCTCCATAACCATACACAAAGAACAATCCACCTCCATTGGAATCAATATCATTCATCACAGAGTCATAAACATTCTTTTGCTCGTAGGTCAATTGTGTTACCAATGTTTCATGCTCTATCTTCAACGATTCCTTGTCATACGCCAACTCTTCGGCTATCAACATGTTTGCACTTAAACCCATTGTTGACATTGAAATTTTGATAAATATGATTAGTTTTTAAAATTAGATAATATCAATATTATCAAAAATATTTCAAATATACTAATATTAAAAACTAATCATATTTATCAAAATTTCAGTGTCTACAAATGCCCCCTTGAGACTTGCTTGTACGTCACTTGAGAGCGCATATACCACTCGAAAGTATGTAGTGCAAAGAAGTCTAGACACTACAACTTTAAGATATAAGGCCGTTTGACGTAATCACAATTACATAAGTTTTTATTGGTTGTTTGTTTCATTTTGGAAGCTTAAATTCAATGGATTGGCATGTCCAACGCCTTTCTCCTTGCTTTCGCATTAAAATATGGCTTTACACTTGCTTTGAATGTTTTACGGTGTTTAGTAGTGTTTTTGAGTCATTACAGGACTAATGCAAGAGCAAGGAAGGCTGTCCAAGCTAAAGCGGGAGTCAAAATGAAGTTGGAAGGAAGTCAACGTCAATTCGACGCGTCGAGAAAATCCAGTAGCTAGTGCTTAGTACCCCACTTCCCTGTGGTTCGACTACCCGTACTCCGGGTATTTATTTGTTTGCAAATTTACTACGCTTCAAAAATTGGTGCCGTTGCCGAGGAAGTGGCGTTAAGTATTAACATTAGCGAAAGTTTATGTGACAACCCAAAATTTAATTTTATAAATCCAATTTTAAGAAATTCCAAAATAGCCATTTTCACTCCATTAATTTTTTTTTATAGATAAATTGGTATTTGAATAAATTATTTTGAGTTACATTTTAAATTAATTCAACACCGAAACTTATTATAATTCTAAAATCCTAAATTTTCGGGTACTTCGTGTACCAAGTTTTAAACTGAGAAACCAATCTGAGTGAGACCGGGAGAAACCTGAACCAAGTGTTTGTTTAGAAATCATCTTTGGAAAAATCTATTTTGACCCCCAAACTATTTAAAGTTATCCTTCTAGTCTTGGTCCATGAAGTATGGTGGACCACTGACCATCCAAAAGCTTCATCATGATTCATCTTTTAGCAAGCCACTTTACCAATTTGCCCCCCACCAATCATGAGGGATCATCCTAGGGCTTTGTGTCTCTATAAATGAGAACTCTATCAGACCATTTGCCTCTTGATTCCACTCTTTGCTTCCCACATTTCAGCTCTGCAAATCAAGAGGCAACACAGTAAGTTTCATCCTCCTTCTCCATTCAATCCTAGCCTTCCATTTCTCTTCTAGCTTTCATCCATTCTCTGAGGTTTTAGCCTTAAGCTTTGTATGGTTTGTTTGATTTGTTAGGAAGTGAAGAAGGGGGAGGGGGGGGGGGGGGTAGCTAGCTTGGGAAGAAGGTGGAATCCCAGCACAAGAGAAGAAGCTTCAAAGGTATAACCCCATGGACTACCACTTTGGTTTTTGGCTCTGTGAAGCCTTGTTTCTTAGGCAGAAATGAGTAGAAATGCTAGATTTATTATGTCTTTGAGCTATGAAGTGATCTATTACTTGTCTATGTTGTGTTGTTAATGTTTTGGATGAGTTGGAGTTATCTGAGATTGTTTTGCAGATGAAAATAGATCATCTGGTGCACAGACAGTGTGCACCAGATGAAGCAACGGCCCTAACCAACGGCCCAACAAGGGGACCGTTGGCTAGAGCCGTGGCCGACCGGTCCTAGGGAACGGCCCTAGGAGAGGGCTGTTGCCTAGGGCCGGCAAGCTAACGACGTGAGGGGGCTGGCCATGCTGAGCCCCGCCCCATGGTTCCTGAGTTATCTCTGTGCAGTGGCCGGGCCCTTGTGGCTCAGCTACGTGTCGTTTCGGGCCAGGTGTCACGAGCCCTTGTGCCTCGGTACCTCGGGGCCGTCTTGACGCACGTTTTGGATTAGAAATGAGCATGTTATGATGGATTTAGTGATGAAATTGCTTCACAGTAGTATTGTTTGAGTTCTCTGCCTTTGGAAATTTGCCTTGTTTTATTCCCCTGATGCTATGTGTGTATTGAATAGAGAAGCATGAACCCTTATGAATAAGTATTGTTAGAAAAGCATGACTAGAATGTGTTGTATGTTCAATGGAATGTGAGGTCTATTTTGATGGTAGAAATATACAGAGTTTGATATGTTGCAAACCAAGCATGTTGTTGTGTTCTTGAGAGATCATTGTGATATTTAATTTGAAGCATTTTGTATAGTAAATTGCATTCCAAGTAAATCATGTTTTAAAAGTGCATAAGTGGCCAACGTGAGCCTAAGTATTATTTTCCAAAAATCTCATTCCACGTAGAGCATCTTTATCTTGTCTTTGAGAATGAATTGAGAAGTATGTGCATGTCTTTTGCATAAGTTAAGTGTTGCATATATGAGATGCATGAGCGATATATCTATATATATCTATGGTGAGGAAAATCATGTTTTGGAGAACCCGTTTGTACTACGTCCTCTCGGAAGAAAGTTATGGACATTGCGGTCCCAGTATATAACGCGGCATATTCTCACTTTACGAGGTTGGAATCCTGGTCAGGGGGTGTGCACGCTGATAGTTCGATACCTGATTCCACAGAGTTTGAGCATAGAACCAAGAGAGTGGTTTGGTGGACGAGATGAGTATTAGGCCGGCTAGACCCCGTGCCCGGATAGGTTCGTTCACGATACAGTGAAGTTCCTACGTCGTCCATTTGTAAAGAAAGCGAGTCATTGTGACTCTAAGAAAAGAAAGAAAGAAAGCGAGTCATTGCGACTCTAAGAAAAGAAAGAAAGCAAGCGAGTCCTTGTGGCTCTAAGAAACCTCCACAGAGAAGTATTCTATTTTACAAGCGAGTGTTGAGTATACTTATAGTATTGCACGAGATTGCATTTGAGTATAGTATTGCACGAGATTGCATAATCAGAATGTTTGCACTAGATTTCATAATGAGTATGATTAATCGGGATTGTATATTGAGCTTGATTGCTTTAGTTGCATTTTGACGTCTTATATAACTAGTTTGCAAGATGTGATCTTGAAAGCATGAAGATAATTTCGTATTGATTGATAGCATGCAATTGCTTGATAGCATGAGTTCGTTATGATGAGTTTTGTTATGAGAAATATGTGTTAGAGTATTTATGTTGATGAGTTATTTATCGTTGAAGCATGCCTGTTAATATTATAGGTTGCAAGCATATAGTAAGTCTGTAATGTATCTTAAAGTTGCCTAAGTGTTGAGATTGCTTGAGTAGAGTTTGTGAACAAATGTTTTTCCAAAGTATATACTGTAGTACTTTACAGGGTTGAGTGTGGTTATACTTAGCTTCGTGCTAACAGGTGTTTTCCTACTTGTCTACGTGTTGTTTTGCAAAACCCCTTTCAGGTGGGCCCAGCGTTTGAGAGATGATCGAGTTAGACTGGCTTAGTAGATCTAGTAGTCTAAACTCTTATTATTATTATGATGTTTATTTGATGATTTGTAGACTTATGATGATTATGTTTGGTGATAGACACCGGGGTGTTTCTCCCCCTTACGACTTTAATTAAGTATTTGCTATGTTATTGTGATTTAATGAGTTAGTTCCATCCTTAACCTGTGCAATCACCGTAAAGAGGTGGTTGTGCTGGTGACATCTCCACTAGTTTATTAGTTAAGATTGTTTATCCGCTGCTTAGTTTATATTAATGTTGGTTTTAGAATTGTAATTAAGTTTAAGAAAAGTGGGGTGTTACAGTTTTACTCTAGGAGACTAGTCTATTTTTATATTTTATTCTATTTATTATTATTATTTACTAATCGATAACGAGTTTCTTGTGTTGAGCTTTGATTTGTGATCTGCGGACTTAGTTTTATGCGAACTCGGTCTTCGGGAAACGAAGGGTTAGAACCTTTTAACCCTGAGATTGAGAGGCAGGCCAGGCTCCTTAGGAAACAGAGAAGGGAAGCGCAGGAAGCAATTCAGAACAACATGAATCCAGCTGAAGAAGTTAATCAACCACCACCCGTTGCGAGGTCCATGTCTGACTACATCGCTCCGACTGTGGGGGATTATGGAAGCATTAATGTGCCTGGGGTTGAAGCCAACAACTTCGAGATCAAACCGGTGATTGTGCAAATGGTTGCTTCAGACAGGTTCAGAGGAGCACCAACAGAGGATCCTAATGCTCATATTGTGAAATTTCTGAGGATCTGTAGCACCTTCAAGATTAACGGAGCTACTGATGATGGAATCAAGCTCCGATTATTTCCATTCTCAGTAAGGGATAAGGCTAACAACTGGCTTATCTCTTATCTGGAAAACTACTATGAGACATGGGATCAGTTGCACAGGGCGTTTTTGAAGAGATTTTATCCCATCTCCAAGACTCAGAAGATGAGACGTGCGATTCAGAATTTCAAACAGATAGTTTGTGAGTCTTTAGCTGAGTTGTGGGAGAGATTCAAGGAATTACAAAGACAATGCCCACACCATGGTATTCCGAGTTGGGACTTGATGATGGCATTCTACGAAGGATTACAGGATAATTCAAAGATCCTAGTTGATGCTTCTTCGGGTGGATCATTTACAGTCTTAGAGCCGACTCACGCTGAGGATCTTTTGGACAAGATCGCAATGAATGGGACTGCGTGGTACACAGAGAGAACTCCCCAGAGGCTTGTGGGGAGCATATATGATGATGGGAAAATGTCAGCCTTGACGGCTAAGGTTGACAATGTGGCCACTTTAGTGCATCAGCTAGCTCAAATTACTTTGAAGAATCAAAGCGCAGGTAATATTTCCACTTCAACTATTACCCCTAAATCAATTATGATGTGTGAGCTATGTGGAGGAGAGCACAACACCGGAGAGTGTTACAGCATTGAAACACAGGGAGCAATGGAGCAAGTTGATTGGGTAGGATATGGTAAGCAACAACAATCATATCCACAACAAGGAGTCTACAATCCGAACGCACCAAGGAACCACCCAGGTTTCTCATGGAGTAATCCAGCTGGGGCGGCTAATCCTCAAACTTTTAGTAATAGAGCTCCACCTCCAGGGTTCCAATGTTAACAAAATTACAAAGGAGGAAATCAGCAACAGTTTAGGCCAAATCAAGGATATCAGGCCCCAGTTACTCAGCCTAGGCAAATCATGCCTAAACCGGAAGCACCAACCTCGTCAAATTTGGAAGCTTTGGTGGAAAAGTTGCTTAAGTCTCATGAGCAAAGTGAGGAGAGGTACAAGCACCTTACAGAGAACGGACCAACTGAGCCTTCACAATAAGATGTTGGAAAATCAGCTGGCGAATCAAGCTTCAACTTCCAGAACTACTGTCACGGGGAAGTTGCCTACTTGCCCAGAAAATCCAAGAGAACACTTGAATGCCATTACAACTAGGAGTGGGAAGTAGCTACAGGATCCACCCTATCCCGTTAGTGAACAAGTTTGCAGGAGGAATCGGGAAGTTGAAGCTGAAAAAGGAAATGAAGAAGTTACTGTCCAAGACAAGGAGGATTTGGTTCAAGAGATTGAACCCATACTGAAGCATACACCACCTCTTCCTTTTCCACAGAAGTTCAAGAAATCAAAGGTAGAGGAACGAAGGGCGAAGTTCTTTAGTGTGATCAAGCAGTTGGATATCACTATTCCATTGCTTGATACTATCACCGAGATCCCTTCGTATGCCAATTTTTTGAAGGAGATCTTGTCAAATAAGAGGAAATTTGAGGATCGTGAAACTGTGGCAGTAAACCAAGAATGCAGTGCCTTGATCCAAAACAACCTGCCACCTAGGCATAGTGATCCTTGGAGTTTCTCAATTCCTTGTGTTATTGGAGGATCTCTGGTCCAGAGAGCCTTGTGTGATTTGGGGGCAAGTGTGAGTTTGATGCCGTACTCGTTGTGCAAAAAGTTGCAACTAGGCCAACCAAAGCCCACATCTATGACTATTCAGTTGGCGGATAGATCAGTGAAGCATCCGGTTGGAGTCCTTGAGGATGTTCCAGTGAAGATTGATAAATTTTATATCCCTGGGGATTTTGTAGTTCTTGAGATGGAGGAGGATGCTAAGGTTCCCATAATCCTTGGGAGACCGTTTTTAGCAACTGCAGGGGTACGTAGTGATCAATGTCAAAAAGGGAACTTTAGTTCTTGAAATCGGTGATGACAAGGTGGAGTTTAAAGTTTTTGAACCGACTAACAAATCTTCTTGTCTTGATGTTTGTTTTTATATAGATGAAGTCGATGCGTATGTTGAAGAGTTTCGGCGAAGTGATATGATTGTCGATGATCCCTTGCAAATTGGCAAGGGTGACACAATTGAGGATGGACACTTGGAAGAAGGCAAGTGTGGGGGAGATGAGCCACTGGTGGTATATGAATCTCTGGAAACCCCATAGGTGTCCATTGTGTGTGGACTCGATGATAGATCACCACAAAAAGAAAAGGAACCACCACAAGTAGAATTAAAACTGTTACCAACAAATTTAAGGTATGCTTATCTTGGTCCTAATTCTACTTATCCAGTGATTGTTAGTGCTCATTTGAATGAGGAAGAAACTGAAAAGTTATTGCATGTGTTAAGAAAACACAGGAGAATCATAGGATATACAATTGATGATATAGTAGGAACCGTGCCTCTTATTGCATGCATAGAATTAATCTAGAGGATGGGCATAAGCCCAGTGTTGAGCATCAACGTAGATTGAATCCTAGTATGCAGGAGGTGGTGAAAAAAGAGATTCTTAAATTGTTAAAGGCAGGAATTATTTATCCTATTTCTGATAGTAAATGGGTTAGTCCCATTCATGTGGTTCCTAAGAAAGGGGGACAACAGTAGTGCGCAATGAAAAGAATGAACTTATTCCTACTAGATTGGTCACGGGGTGGAGAATGTGCACTAATTATAGGAAATTGAACAAAGCTACTAGGAAAGATCCTTTTCCCCTTCCCTTTATTGACCAATTAATTGAGAGGATGGCTAAGCATTCATATTTTTGCTTTCTTGATGGTTTTTCGGGATTCTTTCAGATTCTCATTCATCCCGATGACTACCTTTACATGCCCTTATGGTACCTTTGCTTATCGAAGGATGCCATTCGGGCTATGTAATGCACCAGCCACTTTTCAAAGGTGCATGGTAGCCATATTTTCTGATTTGATTGAGAAAACCATGGAAGTTTTTATGGATGATTTTTCTGTTTATGGTTTGTCTTTTGATGATTGCCTGTCTAACCTGGATGAGGCATTGGAAAAGTGTCAAAAAGCCAATATTATTTTAAATTGGGAAAAGTGTCATTTTATGGTGTCACAGGGGATTGTCCTTGGCCATAAAATTTCAGAAGCAGGTATACAGGTAGATCCAGCTAAGGTGGAAGTTATTGAAAATTACCACCACCCACTTCTGTGAAGGAAATAAGGAGTTTTCTCGGGCATGCAAGTTTTTATAGGAGGTTTATTGGAGATTTTTCCAAGATCTCTAAGCCTC